GTGATTTAGAAACAGGCTGTACGTCTCTCACAGGGACGCACTGAGACCTCGGCTGTCACAGGAGGAGGAAAAAGAACCTTTAACCGCCTCCTCCTCCTCCTCCTCCCATTACTGCATCCATCTCTCCGTCTGCCTATTCAAGCATCCATCCAAGTCCTCATCCATCTCTCGTCTGTGCGCCGCAGAGTGATTGAAACACATGCGGCTGAACATCGCTTTGATTTCATGGCGCGGAGAGGAAAAAGAATAAAAGAGGGCCAAATGTGTAGAGCGATTTATAAAATGAATGACTCATCTGCGGCCTGACACAAACGTCAAACTGAGACGTTATTACGATTTAGCCTGTGCAGCACAATGACGGATTTGTGCATCTCACTTTTTGGTTTAATAATTCAATGTTTTGCTTTCATGGTGGCGCTCCATTTCTCCTTATAACGTGCACACGAAGACACCTGTACAGTATAGGCTGGAGCCCATCCCAGCTGTTATTGGGCTAGAGGCGGGGTTACACCCTGGACTGGTGAACTGGTCGCCAGCCAATCACAGGGCTGACATATAGAGACAGACAACCAGCTACACTCACATTCACACCTACAGGCAATTTAGAGTCAGCAGTTAACCTAACGAGCATGTCTTTGGACTGTGGGAGGATGCAGGAGGGAGACCACACATGCACGGGGAGAACATGCAGACTCCACACAGAGAGGCTCCTGTCAGACGGGGATTCAAACCAGGAACCTCCACACAGAGAGGCTCCTGTCAGACGAGGATTCAAACCAGGAACCTCCTCGTGTGAGGCAACAGCGCTGTTTTTTTCCACCACAGCAGATAGCTTTTGCTTCATCTTGACTGCGTCAAAATGCTCTGAAAGCGTGAACAACATCCTCAGGTTTTCATCCAGTAGTAGTATAAATTCAAACTCCTGCAACGTCTAAATTACAAATGCTCATATCCCGATACCGAGGAAATTGCGATTAATGGAGCAGCTCTAGTTGACATTAAGCCCCTGAAGTACTCCCAAGGATGCCCATAGAATAAAACAAATCTAAATTCATGACAGCACAATGTGCCTTTAGGGTCCCTTTAATGCTGAAAACACAATAATTGGACCTTCAGGTTTCCCATCCAGGAGACTGACAGTTTCTACCACTAAAGCCAACTAATTTCTTAGAAACATAACTTTTTTATTAAAGGGGACATATTATGAAAAATCCTCTTCTACAGTGTTGAATTAAACCCATCCAGTCCTTTTTTTCCCCTAGTCTGTATAAGTCTTACAACCACTACTTTTAATTGAGTTAAAAATTAACTTTGGCGGGTAACATTGTCGAGTTACAAGCCATTTTGGCTGGTGATGAATGAAGCAAATATCACTGCATCTGTTTGAATTGGCAGGCTGCAGAAATGATGCGGGGGGGGGGGGTCATTGCATTTAAAGAGACACACACCAAAACAGAGCATTCTGAGAGAGCTGGTTTATACAGGGTCACAAACCTCCTCTGGTGCTTGATTCATGTTATATTTTGACCAAAGCACAGCACAAATGTTTCATTTAGACCACAGGGGACGGTTTTAAGAGGTGGAAATGGGGAATAATATGTCCTCTTTAAGATAATTTTATTTAGGCTTTTGCCTTTGTTTGGACTTTAAAGCTGATTAATATAATAACTCTAACTGACTTGTTGTTTCACTATGATTTAAGATGATGATGATCACACACAGCACCCTGTATTTGCCACCACAGGGTGCAGGTCGATACCCTTGAGTGTCAGAAGGCTCTTCTTCCAGTTCACAGAGATGGATTGGTAACTTATCTTCTATTTTCCTCATCGACTCGTCTTTCTCACAGCTCCAGCTCCGACCTTCTGCACCGCTCCTCCTCACATAAAAACCGATAATATAGAGTTTTTAATTTGTAGACATTCAACACATTCCAGTGAGTAAACAAGATGGATGCATGCTGGGGCTGAGGTTTTATGAAAAAGTTGCAGATATTCATCATGTTGACGTTGCCCACTCATCTGATTCTAGATTGGCTATTGATTAAATTAGCGCATCTCCGTCGCAGCAGTGTGTGCACACCCGGCTCTTACTGGACGAGAGGGAGCAGATATGAAAATGATTGCTTTCTGCGGCCGCTCCGCTACACGTTATTGACTATGTTGGAAATGTGTCCGCTGTGACTGTGAGTTAGAGAACTAATAAAGTCTTAATGAAGCCGCGTCCACCCCTGTGCGTTCACACTAAGCCAACAGCACAGCAGCGGAATTCGATAATTAGTGCAACTTCATCCCGAGAAGAATTAACGGATGAATCCTCCCGCTGAAGAGTTTGATTAAAAAGCAAACCTGCACACTTTTGTCCCTCGTTGGTACACGATTGGAGACTACTTTGTTAAACGAGGCATCAACAACGAATCGGGAATCAGACTCGGACTGGAAACTGGAAGAAGAGACCAATCCACCAACTGATTTGTGGCCATCTTTTTTTTTTCCTTACATACTTTATAATCCTCGAGGGAAATACTGGTTTACTCTGTTATTGAGAAACGTGCTACTCACACACATAGACCCTACACAGGGAGTGGCCAGAGCTGTCAGGGGTTCAGGCACCTCTGCATACACGGGAAGTGAACTGTCACCTTTCAACCAACCAGACCAGCAGCCATATGTTGGCCCACACCGGGACTAGAACCTGCACCCCTCTGTTTCCCAACCCATCACCGCAGTGTCTCCCTTCAATATCTACGTGTTTGAATGGGAGCTGTCCTTTAGAAGTGAACAATTTAACTCTGACCCCTAGTGTTCAAAATGGGTACTGCAGTCTAAATTCATAACGTCTGAGAGAGTGTTCCCCCTGCCCCCCTCCTCTCTAGAGTCCATTCTCATGCAGGTTACCATGTGGTGGACACTGAAGCTTCAGTGTTTATCCAGCTCTGCATCTGTCTGTAAACCTTTCTGTGTTCTAACCTCTCTCCATTTTTCAAAAGTATCTCCAATATTGATCCTAGTTTGAGCACGTTTCTGCTCGTGGAGCTTATTAGAAACATGCAGAGGCTTTTTAGGTCGGGTACAATCACTTCTATCTGAACCAGTTCTCTTGAACGCTTCCATCTCTGCAACACCTGTTGGTTTGACCTGATAACTGCTCTCATATCTGGCAAACCGAGGGGCGTCCAAAACGGGCCGTGTGGGGGTTGCCTTAAAACCACCTACCTTCTCTGGTCCAAACAAATCCAGAGCATTCAGGACCAGAATCTAAAGTTAGAAGGAGGACATACTGGCTGCTGCATTGTTGTCAGAGAAGCCAGCACTTCAACATAGCATGTTTCCTGAATGTCTGATCATAAAGTAAGATCACTTTATCATTTCACTCACTACACATCTTACTGATTGGACCTTTAATGCCCCGCACAGAGACCCAATGATGACCCTGTGTGATGCAAACACCTTTTGGCACAGGTGACTCAGCAGAGTAAGAATCTCAGCTGTCAGACTGTATCTCTAACTTTACTTGGTTTTCACTTCCTTCCACTTGAGTCTTTAAACCCACTCAACACATCGTGCTGTGGTGCTGTCACTGTGTTGTTCCAGCAGCTCCACAGAGTGCTTTTTATTATTTAAAGAAGAGCAGCAGAAACGGCGGCAGTAAAACATTGTTATCGTCCTTAAAATGTACACAAATGTAAACAATGAATGTGCAGAGCCCCGGAGCTGCAGACACCACAACACCTCTTTAAATCACGTCTGGCAATTTAAGGATACATAATGATGTTTGGAAGTGAAAGAGAAACCAGTCAGTGCTTCTGAGTACCACATTAGGCTGAATGCCTGAGTCTGGCAATTTGTGAGCGTGCACTTAAAGGAAGAATTGAACGCAGCAGTCAGGCGGCTTTCACATGTTTTAGAGTCAACTTCCTTTCAGCACTGTTGTCTGTATTGACGGCTGCTGCAGTGTCATGATGTGTGCGCTCTCCCCTCTCATAAATATTAACTGAGTGTGCTGTGCTAGCTCCTGTTTGCAATACCACACGTTTTAAATTGATTTAATTATATTTTTTTAAATTTTAATGGTGGAAAAGTAAAAGTAGTAGTGCTGTATTCAAGACCAAGCTAACCGATATCAAGGCATACCCGAGACCTGAGTGCGAGACCGAGACAAGACCAGGACCATAAATATCAATGAAAAATCATCGTCTTGTGTTTAAGGGGCGTGTCTTTCACTTAGGCCATAACACACGGAGAAGTCTGCAGCCGTAACTGGAGGATAAAAATCAAACTATAAATGAATAGAAGTTATTTTTTCTTTTAGAAAGAGGCGTTTTCCTTTCTAATCACATCCACCAGAGTCCGCCGAGTATAAGACCGAGACAAGACCGGGTAAAAATCTGTTTGCTTCCAAGACGAGACCTTCAACAGGTGGTCTCGAGACCGGTCTTGTTCGACTCATACAACACTAGTATCAACACCTTATCTTCAAACATATTTTCAACCGACGGTCCATTTGAATCTACACGGTTGTAAATCTCGTCTCTTAAATCCTTCTGGCTGCACGAATCCATCATCTGACAACAGATGGAAATTAGCTTGTTAGCTAAATCGGGTACAAAGCATCTTTTCTCTCCTGGGGCTGATGTTATTTTTCTACACTGTCCCTGATTAAACTAAACTAAACTATTAAGATGGAAATGTGATGTTTCTGATTCTTACTAGCAGACAAAGAGTAGAGGGGTTTGCCTCTTCGTCTAAATTGCACGAATACATCGGCAACTTTTCCGGAATGAATCATCAACAATGAAAAGTGTGTTTAAGTAAAAGAAGAGACCCAATACTGGATGAGGAGGACTTCTATTTTTGTCGCCGTGGTAACAAAACAGGAATCAATATTGTTTGATTTTTTTTTTTTTAAATGTCATATCAAAGTTTAAACTTCTGGTATTGTGTCAACCCTAGTGTGTGTGTGTGTGTGTGTGTGTGTGTGTGTGTGTGTGTGTGACTTACTTGAAGCCCGGTAAGACGGTGGCACATGTGCCTGACTTGATCCATATGCAGTAAGGGTCCCGTGAGGACAGACAGCTCCTGCACAGAGACACAGAGAGAAGGTCAGTGATGGAGCGAGTCTTGTGTGTGAGATGATTGATGGCGGTGTCAACCAATGACGGCTAAGACAGAGGCTGTAATGTCATCTGACAGGAAAAAACATCAAACAGATCCTTCATAACCACTGGGCAATCAGCGCCCCTGTACTGTCTTAAGCTGAGAGTTCTTTACTCCCTGTGTGCTTTTATTTTGAAATACAGTAAGGTGTGATGTCACAAGGTCAATGTGTGATATCATAAGGTGGATATTACTTTGGACTCGTCAGCTGAGCTGTCTGAGAGTTTGTTAAAGTGAAATGAGACATTCAAAGATGCAGCAGTGTCCTTCTTTTACATCACTGAGACTACAGGGAGACGCTGAGGACGACTGTCTACAGTGAGCCTGAAGGGACAAAATAACATGAGATTAAAAAAAGTTATTGTATTAATTCCAGACCTTAATTAATCGTGATTACAGTAACTTGTTAACGCTGACAGCCTTATTTAAAACTTATTTTGAGCTTCCTCACGAACACTAAAAACGTCTCTCCACTCGGCCGTCACTCAGGATGAAGAGATGAGCCTCGTGAGTCGCCTGGTATGAACCCAAACAGAGAGCATGCAGCGACTCTCGTTATGCAAAGACCAAAGTTAAACAAGCATCCAGAGATAGAAATGCACATTCAACAGACGATGACATCGATGCAGACTCATTATGAGCAGGTAAAAGATCATCCACAAACTAAAGAGCCGATACTCGAAGCTGAAGCTGCGGAATAAATCGAAACGTGTTCACTGAGCGTCTTCAGACGACTCCTGTTTTATTGTTTTGATGTAAATCCAGCGATGACTTCACACCTTCAGCTGATACACGACCGGATGATGATGACGCATGGTCAAAGTTTTACAGTCTCATCTGCAATGCTTTAATGAAAGTGATAAAATATGTACCAAGCCGCGTTCGCTTCTCTCAGCGGCGCACACTGACTCGTAAATATCCAAACGTCACTGCATGCTCCCGAGCAGAGGTGGACGCAGGCGATGTGACAAAAGCAGGATCGTTATCAGACGAGTTTTTGATCAGACGGGATGTTTTTTTTTATTTTACTGAATTTAAAGTAATTAAGGGAGAGTTTGTTTTGTTCCTCTTTGCTTTAAAGTCCTCGTCCATAATTGTTTTCACCTTATAAATGAATCCGCTTAATTGGTATTCATAATGTTGACATTTAACTTGTAGATGGAAATTAAGCAGTTTTGTTTCTCATTCTGATCGTAATTAGAACAATACGCCTGAGTCTTTTTTTAAATGTTATTTAAAGAAAATAAACCTCACAACAGCATCTGAAATAATTAAAATGATGTTCTTCGAGGACAAATCCTATTAATCATTTGAGCTATGATTCTTTCTTTGTAAACACACAGATTAAAAATTAAATTAAATTAGAGATGCAGGATGAGAACCAGAAACAAGCTCAGTCTGTATGTGACTTCCTGTGCTTCTGCAGCCAGCCTCTAGTGGACACTCGAGGAACTGCACTTCCTCATTGGCTTCATTTTTCAACACTGGAGGTTTCTGCTTAGCCAGGAAGTAGAAACAAACAGCTTTAAGTCTGATTGGACACACAGGTGCTGACAGGAAGTACTATCGTTAAGGTCGTAGGTGTTCATAAAGAGCTGGGTCTTTAGCTTTTTCTTAAAGATGCAAAGGGACTCGAAAGGAGTTTGGTAATTCTTTCCACCACCGGGGGGGCGACAGAGGAGAAGAGTCTAGGTAGAGACTTTTATATTTATCGGTTTGCCTTGTCAGAGTCTCTTCTTGGCTAATGATTGTAGCGACTCATATCTTTGAGCTTTAATACAGCCGTGAAAAGATACAAATGACGATCATATCCAGATTCTGCTCCTCAGTTTCACAATCAGAATCAGGACCACTTCAGGTTCCTTCCACTGAGCGAGCAGCAGCGGCAGCCTCATGTTCACGGTCAGCAGACGAGTCGATCAGCTGTTCGTCTGTTCTGGGATTCAGGGGGAAAACAAGCTGGGTGGACTCAGGCCTGTTGGACTTCTTAATTGAAGGCAATCAGCTTTCTCCATAGCTTCCCCCTCCCTCTGGAACTCACTCCCTACACACATTCAACACCGCACCGACCCTCCTACTTTCAAATCACTTAACAAAACTCACCTCTTTAAACACGCTTTTAATGTGTGATTGTGATGTATTTTCTGTTTTCTGTAGTTTCACCTTTATTGTTATTATCTTTATGATTTGTGTGTAATGATGCAATGTCTGTTAGTCTGTCCTTACTGTGCTGTTCTCAGTTTTTTAACAATAGTAAAGTGTCTTTGAGTTTTTGAAAAGCGTTTATAAATAAAATGTATTATTATTATTATTATTATTATTATTAACCACCATCAGCAACAATTAGTAAAATCCCCAACAGTAGAAGTCGCAGCAGAATCTCAGCACTGTGTTCTTTCCCTCCGCTTTGAGGCCGGCGCTTGTCAGTCGTGTTGGTTAAACTCTTCCACTGATCTGCTGTCAGTCGCTCTGCCTCATGTTTGATGTGCGTGTTTAATCCTGCTCTCCGGAGTGAGTTGAATGATCCTGCTTTAATGCGTCTACTCTGGATGTCAGAGACAGAATTAACAGTAGTTTTTTTTGTTTGTTTCACGAGCGTGCTGTTTCGCAGGTGTGTGGCGTTCACCCAGCAGCAGCAACATAACGAGCATGAAGCACGCAGGGAGAAAAACCAACAACAAACAACCCGTTATGTTTACCTGCTGCCAATCTGCTGCATCACTCCCACACGCTCCTCAGCCTGTTTTTAACCTTCAGAGGTTCAAAAGTCGACTTCATGAATGTCTGCAGAGCGGGGTGGTACTGCTGAGATCAGCGTCATGTCGGACCGAACAAAAAGGTTTTAATGAGTTTTAATGAGGACTCCTGTGACCCTGTAGAATATTTAAACTATCTGAGTGTGTGGCGCTTCACCGCCGTCGCCCTCAGACTGTAAACACCTCTGAGAGCATCAGAGTGACACCGCTGAGAGACAGAACAGACGAAACTCAACAGAGGAATAATCCCTGTCCTCCCCCACCAAACTGACCCTGGTGCTGGTTCTTTTAACTTGCAAACCGCCAAAGAACCATTTTGTTTTTCCACAGGCAAAAGAGCCACGTCATTACCTCGCTGCATACATCACTGAGCATGTCTCTGATTTCCCGGCCACACTTGCACGCCGTCTCCAAACACAACAACAGCATCAACAACGGAGGACTGCAGCGTCTCGTTTAAAATATTGCTCCTGGCTTTGAGGACCAACATCGACATTCAAACACGATGGGAAAGAAGAATGTGAGCTTGCGGGTTGTTTTTTAAAAATGTATCTATCTGTTCACGATAACTCCGCCCCCAGGCCCGGACGTTTGGTTCTTTCTTTCTTTAACATCAGCAAGGACTTGAAGCTACTCTGGAAGGGGTTTTTCTGGCTGAAAGTCAGTTCTTTGGTGGTCCAGTCACAAAGAACTGGTTCCAGATTAGGCACTGGCTCTGAACCAGCCCATGAACCGACCTGGGGGAGAACGGGGGGGTAGAAGTCTCCTCTGAACTTTCAGTACTCTGACACAGAGAAGTTGAACGCTTGAAGCTGCATGGCTGAAGGCGAGAAGCTCCCAGAGTTCTGAAGTTTGAGGATGCTGTAGTGTTGCATCAGCTGCTCCGTCATGTTACGTCTTGTTTTCCTGATGCTTCACATGAAATGCTCACTCCTCCTCAACTCAGATCAGCAAAACGTCAGCGTTTTAAAAACCTGTGCGGTGCAAAATGTCCAACAGTTCGGGCGTACCAGGTGGGTTTAAAACAGCAGCAGAAATGTGTGGCGTGCATGTGAAGCGCTCGTTCTTGGAGGAGACTAAACGCTCCCACCTCCTGTCGCGCCCTGAGGATTTCATGAAGCCACACCCTCTTCTTCTTCTTCTTTGCTGCTCGTCTCCTCGTCCAGTTGCTGCGCTTCATTGACTGATCTGACCGGAAGCTAGTCAATGCGAGGCCTCTTACTACTGCTACTTAGTTTAGTTTGTTTATTTAAAAGGACAATGTGCACTTACATTAATGTTTGCAATAAACAAAGAGATGGGCGCACCAGATTTAGCTGAAAGCTACATTTCATCTGTAGTCCATTGCTACTGGATAATAGGTTGGGTGTAATTGGCTACCAAATTGGGAGAAAGGGGGATAAAATGTGATACAAATTTATGAAAAAGGAAATGTGGGAACATAGGGCTGTGGGAACATAGGCACGCTTCCGTTTCGGTCACCTAGCAACCTACACCGTTATTAGCGTGTGTGCGTGCTCCTTCCCCGAGCTTAGCGCACACACCCATCCTTTCAGTTCGGTCTGTTATACCTCTGTGAAGAATAAATCTGACAGAAGAAACCTGAAAAATGGTGACCTTTAGCAACAACAGCTCGCTGTGCAAAGAAATGTGAAATAAACGCATCCATCTACAGCGTAGTTAAATGTCCTCTTCTATTTCTTCACCAAAAACAACTTTCTGTACAGAGAAGAGCCTGAATTATCCCCCCCCCCCCCCTCCCCCTCCCCCTCCCCCTCGGCTCTCCAACATCATCTCACACTGACAGACAAGCTCGAGGTCCCTCAATGACTCTCGCCTCTGTGTGCGGCTGCCAATATGTGACACTGCATAATGCAGCTAGAATAAATTATTCATTCACTTGCCATAAGGTACACATGCATCGCTCTCTGTCTCCCCCCGCTCTGCCTCTCTCTTCCCTCTCCATCATTCTTCTGCACTTACACGACATGAATGAACCTCCTCGCCGCAGCGCTGAGAGAAAGGCCCGCTGAGTCCGTCTGACTTTTCTTGCCCAGAGACACAAAGTGAAGTCATATTTTCTTTGTCCGCCGCTGTTCTCATATTTGCAGTTTTTACAGGACATGTGTCTGAATGTGTCCCTCATCACTCTTTAAAACTTCAGAC